ACTTTAAATAATCACTTCTGAATAATATTAAAAAAAGAAGTAGAATAACTACGCTTAACAAAATAAAATAACAGGGTAATAATCAATCGCCAAAATAGGACCCTAGAGATGGATATACATTTAGAAGATTACAAATGTATAGAAGTTTGAGCAGATTGACCTTATTTTGGAAGAGAGAAGGTTATATAACTACGGTATCTAAATAGTTAATGAATAACAAGTAGCGAACTAGTATTGCCTAAAGCAAATGATGTTGATGGTGATTTGTAGAATAATATCATAAAAAAACTGTGTGAAGTGAAATAAGCACAAAAAACTACCATTCAGGATTTTAAATTATATTTGGAAGAATACTTTAATGATTGGTGCTAACTTGAGTCATCCATTTTGTGTTGAATTTGTCAGATGTGCCCAGAAAAACACGACTTCTGATTGATAGTAAATGAAAAAGCTCTAGCACAATTGACTCTGGCTAAGAGATAGAAATAAATTATCTCTAATGTTGAAATAAACTTTCGTATGGAAGATAAACCTAATCAATTGAAATGAAACATCAATAATTGAAAATTAATTTAATTTAGGCGCAGTTTAATGTTTCTGTTGATTATTTTAAGGCAACCCATCCTAATTTGAGAAACACTTAAAAAGTTTGCAACAGGGATAGAAATTCTTGGGCCTTTAGAAGAGCTTGAGCTGTTCCTATTTTCTTCACCTAAGGCGCTGAACCAAAAGAGTTTATTTTATTGAAGGAAATTCTTTGGTTATTGAATTGATGCAGAGTTATAGATCATGTAAAATAAACATGACAAATGACTTAGAATACCTAATTTTGATTAATTCTTCAAAAGAAGCAAATTTTTAATACTTCTAAATGCCGATATTTGCTAATTTCTTGCATAGATATATTAGAAGTTGATAATTTAGAGGAATGCAAGAACATACTGGTTGGTTATTATCACATCATCAATTTAACTTAATATGCATAAAGGAGATATATGATAGATCGTCTAACTACGATTTGGAAATGAATTTTTCTCGTAACCGCCCACTTGTAAGTGATTAATATAGACTCTCAAATTATCTGTAATATCTAAATGATAATTAGTCTTTCCTTTAAGAAATAAATCGATCCACTTCTCTCCCCCTTATATGTAGTTTACATACTGGAAGATCTATGGCGAAGTTCTGGTTATTAATATCAAACCTAAATTTATTTATTAAGAATGGTCTAGACGGATACATTTAGTTGAAAAGGAAGTTGAATCTGCAAAATCTATAAAATTACTAAATGCTGAGTGCGATGCCTTCCAAGTTATTAATGAACTTCTCCTACTTTCGGCTTCCTTTCTTGTGTATCCTGGGTTAATTAAATGATTATGCTTTACAGTATCTGTTTAGCAAGACTCATTAGTCCTTTAAGGTCTTAGGGAGGAATATTTTACTGAAATATGAGAGGTTCAATAAATTATAAAAGATTCAAATAACAAATAATTCAACTGAATAGTCAAATAAGCATTGGTTTTTTAGTTGAATTTGTATTTATTATTTAATTATTTTAATGTATTCTAAAGACTTAAATCCTAATTTGAGTATTTTCTCTAACTCTTGTTTCCATATCTAGAATATTTAAATTATTGCTTTTTTTTTTCCTTTGGAAACAACAATTTTCTTTGTTTGTTCTTAGTAAGTTTGACGATATAGTATTGGAATTATTACTTAAAATCAACTCCAAATAGAGTTATTCAAAAATATTTCAATTAGGAAGAATCTGCCCCATAGAAAAGATTTGTTCTACTATTCAAGCCCTCGGAAAAATAACCATCTATTTGCATATCCTTACTCATTAAATATAGCGATATTTGCCTTTGATATTTATTAGAATTAATCACAGTACAAATTTAATTAATGGAATATATAAATTTCGTCATTCTTCTTTTGAGAATCTAAAAAATTGAGTATTCAACAGAAGTATTTAGTATAATATGATATTTTTTTTAATTATAGCATGTCTCAAGTGTGTATCCCAAAATATCTTAGGAAGAAGCCCTTTTTGGTTACTAAATCTAGTACTTCGCTAGCTGAGGAGTACCTTGAAAAATTTAAATCTCAATACTAAATGGCTGATAAAGTAGAATGATCAAGAAAATGGTTGATTGTCGGCTTGATAAGAAAGCATAGTACAGACCCAGGGAATATTTAGAGGAATAAATGTGGAAGTTTGTAATTGAATAAGAGAAAGATATGAGATGCCAAGTACAAAATTTAAATCTCTTGGCTTAATGCTCACATTGAACCTATAGCTTCTAAGTAGTCTTCTCTCGTCTTTTCATATTTGTCTAACGTTATTGAGTCTAAGGTCATTTCCTAAACTTCCTATATCTCTTCAGCTCATCTGTCTCTTTATTAACTCTCTCTTCCTTTCTTTTGATTTGGCTTCTGCTTCACATATCTCATTTGATGACTATTCTTAATATAGGATTATCAGTTTGTGGAATTAATGTTGACTTCTAACTGAGTCTAAATAGAAAATGATAATCTCTTGCTCATCTCATCTTTTTCTGCGAGTTGTTTGAAATATTCCTAAGTTAACTCCTTATCTAATCATGGGGTTTCTTTGTGTTTTGTTATTAATTAAGACTTCTCTCTTACTGCTATGCTTTTCCTTTTACCCCTAATGTTTTCTATATATTTTGACCACTCCTTAGTTATTACTTATATCTCTTCTCTATCTTCTTCTTAGTATTATTGTTCTAATATTTCTCTTTAGCTCCTAAATAGTCATATATGATAAAGGGTTTCATGTCATATATCTGAAAGTGACTTGTCCTATTAGTCACCTAGTTATTGATCATGGTTGATTTATTTTCTGAAAAACAATTTCATCAATGTATTATCGAGGCAATATGTTAATATCCTCATGTACTCATGTAGAGGAATTTTTCAGAGATCCCCAAAGAATAATATTTTAAGTTCATATCATTCATGTTCCTTTCTTCCATAAGCATCATATTAAGATTCTATATGGCACAAGTGTCTTCTTATTTCTTCTTATGGGCCGATGTTGAATGTATAGAACACGATTGGTGGTCATCTATGTGTTGCCTGAAAGATTCTTTTCTGGTCAATTGGAATTTCCATAAAAATAAGTTATTCTCTATTTCTATGTTAATTTATAAGGAAATTCTATAGTATCCATAGTTTATCTAATCTAGCTCTTATAATTGAGGAATTGCGTAATGAAAATGTGGAGCATTTTAGAAAGAATCTTTAAGTTGGAAACGCTCACATATAATGAATTATTTTAATTATTCAATTTATTATAAAACTAATAAATTATCTTAGACTGAAAAGATAATTAAGGAGTTGATCGAGGTGAAAAAAGTTGATTTCATAATGGCACCAAGGCTTTTCTAATTTGATTTAAGGAGAAAACTTGTATAACAAATTTTTTTAAATAATCTTTCTAATAGTAAATATTTCTAAGAGTACTTTAATAAAATAAACACTTAGAGATTTAATTTCATCAGAAATACTAGATTCATTTATACTTGTGAAAGATCCTTGCACCATGACGCACTGGAAACCGCGGCTCGTCTATATACATGCAAAATACGTAATTCTGTATATAGATAATGGTTGATGTATTTAAAGTTGTATTAAAATTTTCAGTATGAACTTAATCTTTTATGGAGAGGATGATATAGGAAAGAAAGAAGTTAATCTGTTACTGACAAGCTTTTAACTAGTAGAGTGTTGCAATTTCTGAATTCTTATTATATAGCTTTTAGTTTAAAGATCCTTCTCAGTGCTTGAGCTATATTTTGAATAAATTAAAAAGAAAAATAAAAGGAGAAGAGTAAATATCAGCTGTGGCCAGTTAGAGTAGGAAACCTTTATGTCTTATCAAAGGGAGAGTGAAGATTTTTGAAAACTTCAATTCCAAAATTATTGGATGCTGATAATTCATCGCTATAAAATGAAAAATTTATATAAGTAAGTTCCAATTTCATTCTAATTCAACAAGTGTTAATTTTAGCATCATAAATTTTCTGATTATTTGGACTTAATTACGACATATACATTTCAATGTTATAAATTTTAGATATCATAAGATATATAAATTCTGGGTTAGAACTATCACCAGCAAGTACCGAGAAAAAATATTATGATATAGGGATCGACAGCACTCTCCTTCTTTTAAGCGTGTTATTTAGTTAGATATAATCGTTTATAAATCCAACTTTTGAACAATCCATATCAAGAGAAATATGAAGTGTAGAACAAGAGTTATTGAATAAAATTTTTTTGATTATTCTCTTAATATATGAGAAGTAGTTTAGCTGGGTGAGAGGATGTGTTTTATCAAAAAGTTACATAATTGTGAAAAATTTTAAGGAATCTTATATATTAATTAAACTACCTGGTGGATTTCCTGATTAATATTATCATATATAATGATAAATTTGTTAATATTTAAAGTAAACAGTAGCTATTAAAATAAACTAACTAATTTCTTCAAATTAAATTAATCTTTCAATTTCAAAAGGCTACGTTAAACTCTATATATAATTTGAAAGAAATGAAATCTCTTCTTTGCAAAATTTGATTTTGATTATTAGCAACTTGTTATGATACTACAAATTTGCGTTATCAATAAGGAAGGTTAAATTTTAACCAAACAATTCAAGGTAATTTTTGTGTACACCATATTGAAATACCTATATATGAGGACTAATTAAGTTCCTTTTAGGGATATTAAAGTTAGATTTGTTGAAGTGAATTTTGAATTTCTTTGTAATTTTCATTTTTTAGGATTTAATTCCTTTTTAAAATAGAAAACGAATTCATGATTTTTGATTGACGATATTAATTTGAAATTACTTTAGAGACCAGAGTTCTTATAATTTTTATTATTTGGATGAAAATTAAAGAATTTACTTTGGGTGAAATAATTATTTTCTTAGTTATTGAGGATTCTATTTCAATTTTTTTATTTTTTTCTTCATTAAGAAAAAAAAATAATACATCTATAAGTTTTAATTAAAAATGAACAGACTTCTCTAAGATGATTACCAAAATAAAATCAAGTCAACATGAATTTAAAAAGTTAAAATTTCCCAATCTAGATCCTGCGAGGTTCTTGATTAATTTTCCCAATATAATCTAATAGTTGATAATCTAATCCTTCTCTGAAAATCAAAAAAAGCTAAATTGATTGAAGAAACAATTTTGTCTTTCAGTCAATGTTATTATATGCAGTTGTGGAATAGTTCTTAAACCGGTTTCATCTACTTGTTTCAACAACCCTCCTAGGACATTGATATAACTTTTCAACCCAGTATGAGAAAACTACTTCCAAAGCCATACCTGCCCTCAGGTTGTACTACACTTTGATTTTGGCTCCCTCTTTGTCACGAGATAAACATTGACTTTTAAGTGGAATTGTATGATTGACCATTCCCCTGATACTTATT